TGGGTTCGATTCCTCAGCACCACATAAGCAAAAAGAAAAAAGCCAGAAGTGGCGCTGTGGCTCAAGTGGTAGAGTGCTAGCCTTGAGCTGAAGAGTTGAGGGACAACGCCCAGGCCCAGAGTTCAGGCCCCACGACTGGACCCAAAGATAAATAAATAAAATAGGTCCAAGCTGGGTGCCAGTGGCTCACACCTGTCATCCTAGCTACTCAGGAGGCTGAGATCTGAGGATCGTGGTTCAAAGCTAGCCCGGGCAGGAAAATCAGTGAGACTCTTACCTCCAATGAACGAACTACCAGAAAACCGGAAGTGGTGCTGTAGCTCACATGATAGAGCACTTGCCTTGACAGCACCCAAGCCCAGAGTTCAAGCTCCATGCCTGACGGGAAAAAAAAAGTCTGGATGCCCTGCCCAGGAGATGAAGGACCAGGCCTGCTCTGATCAGTGGCCTTGAGTCTTTCCTGCTTTGACCTTGTAACTCTTAATCTGGTCATCAACCAGGGCATAGACTTTAGGGCTGCATGGCCAGGATTCAAATCCTACCCCTGTCTGATACTTCAGCTCTGTGTGTGTGTGTGTGTGTGTGTGTGTGAGAGAGAGAGAGAGAGAGAAGACAGACAGGCAGGCAGACAGACACTTTGGGCAATTTACTTTGCCTCTCTGTGCCTCAGTTTCCCCGTCTACAGAATGAGATGGGATGGCTAAAGGGAGATGGCTTAATGAAGGTCTCACTCATACTTTTTTGTGGGGGATGGGAGTGGAGTTTCCATGAGCACTGTAGGATGCTGTGTCCAAAACAATGCTCCTGGCCTGGCACAGGGGTTTATAACTATCATCCCATCCACTTGGAAGAGGAAGATCAGGGTTTGGGACCAGCCCAGACAAAAAGTGATAGAAGACGCCCTCCACACATCTTAACAAAAAAGCTGGGTATGCATGCTTATCATACCAGCTTGGATGGAGATATAAACTGGAGGATCACAGTCCAAGGCCTAACCCTGAGCAAACACCAGATCCTATCTGAAAAATAGAAGCAAAAAGGGCTACAGGGTCTCTAACTCAAGTGGCAGAATGTCTGGCAAGGTGCCAAGTTCTAACCCCAATACTTCCAGTAAAACGGTCTCCAGCTGGGCACTGGTGGCTCACACCTGTCATCCTAGCTACTCAGGAAGCTGAGATCTGAGGATGGTGGTTCAAGGCCAGCCTGGGCAGGAAAGTCTGTGAGACTCTTAACCACCGGAAAACTGGAAGTAGAAGCTGTGTGGATCACGTGGTAGAACATCAACCTTGAGCGATAATGGTCACAAACAGCACCCAGGCTCTGAGTTCAAGTCCTAGTGCTGGCACCAAAAATTAAAACAGAAATGAAGAGCCTGAAGGCAGGGTCACAGAGGGTGTCCGGGATCTGGGACCATTTAATGGGGGCAGGGGATGGAGGGGGACTCAGGGTGCGCCCTGGGTGCTGATCACAGGTGCTGCAGTAGCCATGAGGCCAGTGCCAGGCCCATGGGGACGGCAGCCACCCGGCTGCCCATGGCACTGGAACCACGGTTGCACAAATGGCCGTAGCAACAGTTGGTGGTGAGACTGTAGGTAAGGCCCATGTAGTTGATGGGCTCCTCACGGCCGCAGTTGGTGGAGTGGATACAGCCTTTGTTGGTGACGGGCCCCATGCCTTGGGCCACCCCGTGGCCTGTGAAGCAATCTTCATCATCGCCACAGCGTATGCGAGTGCCGGGGCACTTGGTGGCGTCGGTCAGCTCACAGAAGATGCAGTCCTTGGCCGCCCTGGTACCCAGGGGCGTGGCCAGCAGCAGTACCAATAGCAGCCAGCCGAGGACCATGGTGGCCTGGCGGCCTGGTTGGTGCCTGAGCCAGGCCGGTGGGGGGCGGGAGGGTGGGGGAGGGGAAAGGGGACTTGGTGAATGAATGACTCTCTAGGGTCTCTTCCTGTCCCTTGTTCTGGGCCCTGGGGACCGGCCCTGGGGGTGTCTTGTCTGTTGGGCTCTGGATATGGCCCAGTGCTGCCGGCCCACAAGGTTCATTGGAATGTGGTGACCTCACAGACCCCCCCCACCCCCAGGGTTCCCCCTGGTGGTGCTGGGGTGAGGTCATAGGGGAGGGAGGGTGGCCCTGTCCAGGAAGGGAGCATCACCTGCTGAGGTAAGGCCATCCCATCCAAACTGTTGTGAGCCGGGCCTACTGAGGGATTCCTCATTTTCCAGGTGGGCAAACCAGGACTTTAGGAAGGGAGCCTGAGTTTGAGTCTCCCTTCAATCCATTCCAGACAGGCCAGGAGAGGAGAAGGTGATTAGTTTACTGAATTTCTCTGGAGTTTTTAATTTTTTGTTGGTCGTGGGGCTTGGATTTGGGGCCTGGGCGCTGTCCCTCAAGCTCTTCAGCTCAAGGCCAGCACTCTACCGCTTGAGCCACAGCGCCACTTGCAGTTTTCTGGTGGCTCATTGGAGATAAGAGTCTCACAAGACTTTCCTACCTAAGCTGGCTTTGAACCACGATCCTCAGATCTCAGCCTCCTGAGTCAGACATTAGACATGGAAACTTGTGACCTTTGTGCCCAGGCTGATTATGAACTTTTCTTCTTCCTTTTTTTTTTTTTTTGCCAGTTGTGGAGCTTGAACTCTGGGCCTGGGCGCTGTTCCTGAGCTCTTCAGCTCAAGGCGAGCATTCTACCTCTTGAGCCACAGCACCACTTCTAGCTTTTTCTGTGTATGTGGTACTGAGGAATCGAACCCGGGGCTTCATGCATGCTAGGCAAGCACTCTACCAGTAGGCCACCTTCCCAGCTCCCCTGATCATGTACATTGATCCTCTTATCTCCACCTCCTAAGCAGCTGGGATGACTTGGTCCAGTGCCTTACCCCTGGGCTGTGGCTGGGGACTGGGCACAGAAGCCATGCAGGCAACATCCATCCTGACCTCGTTCCCCTCATTTCTCCAGCTTCACATGGAGCGATGCCCGCCTGCACCGAGGCCTAGTGACCCTGCTGACTGGGGAAATTGCTGATGCCTTCAGCCATGAGTTCAGGACACTGTACGCTGCCTCCTGCCCCCTCCCACCGGCGCCAGCCCGGGCCTCCCTGAACAGTGTCCCTGGAGACCTACACCTGCCCCGGAGCCCGCACCGTGTGGCCCAGCGCTGCCCCGTAGCTCCTGTGTCCCCGCTGCCACCGGAGGAATCCCTGAGCCGCCGGCTGGCTGCCTGCCGTGTCCTGGACGGGGACAGGCGGGAGCCCCCTGCACCTGCGCCCGCACTCAGTGACATCCTGAGGAGCGTGCAGCGTGCCCGGCCAGCCAGTGGCCCCCCGGCCCGACCCAGCCGCTCCCTGTGGGACCTGAGCCGTCTGTCCCAGCTGTCTGGCTCCAGCGATGGGGACAATGAGGTAAGAGATGGGAATGGGGTGGTGGGGGCTGCCATCAAAGAGGGAGGGAGGGATGTGACAGAGACCAGGAAAAGAATGTGTAGGGGGCTCCCTGCTCTGAACCCCCAAAGCAGGAAGCATGATCAGAGGCCCTACTGTGTACCCAGGAAGGGCTAGAAGGCAAAGCCTTTTACCTGAGTCCACAGCCACAGCCGTCCCATGGTTTTAGAGTTCTACTGTGTGCCCCAGGCCATGAGTTTGAGTTCTGCCAGGATGCATATATGCTATCTCTGAATTTTTATCTTGCCACCTATGAACCGATCCTGGCAGTCAGATTCAGAATGGGATGGGCTGCAGACACTGTCATCCTAGCTACTCAGGAAGCTAAGATCCGAGGATCGTGGTTCAAAGCCAGCCTGTGAGACTCTTACCTCCAATGAGCCACCAAAAAAAAAAGCTGGAAGTGGAGTGGAGCTGTGGCTCAAAGTAGTAGAGCACCAACTCTGAGTGAGAAAGTTGAAGGGTAGAGCCCAGGCCCAGAATTTTAAGTCCCATGAGGGCTGGGAAGGTGGCTCAGTGGTAAGTCCCAGGACAAGAGAGAGAGAGAGAATGCACATGCCAGGCACCAGTGGCTCATGCTTGTAGTCCTAGCTACTCAGGAGGCTGAGATCTGAGGATTGTGGTTCAAATCAACCAGGGTAGAAAAAGTCTATGAAACTCTTATGTCTAATAAAGTCCTTAGAAAAGGCCAGAATTGGCACTATGTAGCTCAAGTGGTAGAGCCCTAGCCTTCAGCACAGAGAGGCTTAGAGACAGCACTCAGGCCCTGAGTTCAAGTCCCAAGACTTGCCAAAAAAGAAAAGAAACTGAAAGAAATTAAGAAAGAAAGAAGAAAAGAAAGGAACGAGGGCTGGGAAGGTGGCCCAGTGGTAGAGTGCTTGCCTTGCATGCCTGAGGCCCTGGGTTCGATTCCTCAGCACCACATAAGCAAAAAGAAAAAAGCCGGAAGTGGCGCTGTGGCTCAAGTGGTAGAGCCCTAGCCTTGAGCTGAAGAGCTGAGGGACAGCGCCCAGGCCCAGAGTTCAGGTGCCATGACCTGACCTCTCCCCCCAAAAAAAAGAAAGGAACAAAAGAGAAATGTAATACAAATGATTTATTTCATGGTATCTGTCTCAGGCCAGTGAGGCTCCACACCATCCATCCTTCTTTTGTTGTTTATGAGATAAAGTTTCACTGTGTAGTTCAAGCTCAACTCAAACTCACGATCCTCCTATCTCAGTCCTTGGACGGCTGGGATTACAGGCATGTGCTCATACCATCATGCCCAGCTCACTCATCCTGTCCACTTTTAAAAATGGAAAGCTGAGCCAGGCCCCAGTGGCTCACGCCTGTCATCCCAGCTACTCAGGAGGTTGAGATCTGAGGATCGTGGTTCAAAGCCAGTCCAGGGAAGGAAAGTCTGTGAAACTCTTACCTCCAATAAACCACTCAGAAATTGGGAACTGGCGCTGTGGCTCAAGTGGTAGAGTGCTTGCCTTGAGCTGAAGAGCTGAGAGACAGTGCCCAGGCCAGAGTGAAGCCCCATGACAGACAAAAAAAAAGAAAAAAGAAAAAAAGAAAAGAAAAGAAAAAAAGAAAGCTGGGGCTTTGTCCTATAGATTGGAACAAACTTTTTTTTTTTCCTGCCAGTCCTGGGCACTGTCCCTGAGCTGTTTTTGCTCAACACTAGGACTCTACCACTTGAGCCACAGTGATGCTTCCAGCTTTTTCTGTGTATGTGGTACTGAGGAATTGAACCCAGGGCTTCAAGCATGTGATTCAAGCACTCTACCATTAAGCCACATCCCAGCCCTCAGTTTCTTTTCTTTCTTTCTTTTTTGTCGGTTATGGGGCTTGAACTCTGGGCCTGGGCGCTGTCCCTCAGCTCTTCAGTTCAAGGCGAGTACTCTACCACTTGAGCCACAGCGCCACTTCCAGTTTTCTGGTGGTTCCTTGGAAAGAAGAGTTTCATGGACTTTCCTGCCCAGGCTGGCTTTGAACCGCGATCCTCAGATCTTAGCCTCTTGAGTAGCTAGGATTACAAGTGTGAGCCACCGGCAGCTAGCTCTACACATTTCAGTTTGTTCTGTTCAAGAGCAGAGGCAGGCAGCCAGGGACATGGGTAGACTCCTTTTTTTCCCCCAGCCTGTATGCAGCTGTGGGGAGCAGGGCCTCCTCTGCCTCAGTCTCCCTTTCTGCTAAGTGGGAGTAGAGGCTAGGATATGGAGAAGTGGGAATGGGGAGGGGTGTGTGTTCAGAGCTGAGGTCCTCACCTGTCTCCCTGGGGCTGGGCCTGAGCCTCCCTCACCCACTACCACCTCCCTTGGCAAATATTTGCTTCCTGGGAAGACGCCCATGGTTTCTTATTCCTGCCCAGAATGGCAGCAGCATCTCTCTGGTGCCCTTGCCGCCCTGTATCGTGGGGTCCTGGGCCTCCCCTTTTGCTTCTTCATTTGGCCCAGGAGGCTCAGGGCACTTTTTTTTTTTTTTTGGTCGGTCGTGGGGCTTGAATTCTGGGCCTGAGCGCGGTCCCTCAGCTCTTTAGCTCAAGGCAGGCGCTCTACCACTTGAGCCACAGCGCCACTTTCGGTTTTCTGTGGTTCATTGGAGATAAAAGTCTCACAGACTTTCCTGCCTGGGTTGGCTTTGAACCACGATCCTTCGATCTCAGCCTCCTGAGTAGCTAACAGGTGTGAGCCACCAGAGCCTGGCTTCAGGGCAATTCTTGTCACCTTCTGTCACCTCCCTCTGTGGTCCTGCCTTTCCCCCACCCTCCCCTTTCCCTTCCCGCCCCTGCCTCTTCACCTCCTCAGAGGCCCCAGGGGTCTCCTAACTCCTCCATTCTTTTTTTTTTTCCACAGCTCAAGAAATCCTGGGGCTCCAAAGACACCCCAGCCAGGGCCCTGATGAGGCAGCGGGGTGCAGGAGGGGGTGTGTGGGGTGAGGTGGAGGCCCGCCCGCTGGCCTGTTCGCAGCCCTGGGGCTGCCCCCTGCCCCCAGCCCTCCGCCGCCTGCGTTATCTGTCCCCTGCCCAAAGGAGGCTGGGTGAAGGGGCCCCGCAGCCCGACTGGAGCCCTCACATAGGACTTGGGGGACAACACTGATGGGAGCCACTGTGGGGACAACTGGCTGGCCGCAGGGCCTGCTCCCACTTTGTTCTAGAACCTGTGGCCCAGAGCAGCTCAGTGTTATCATCGCGGAAATGGGCAGAAACTTTCTAGGGTCTTGGACCCTAAAACAGTGCATGTGGGGTTCCCCCAGATCTCTGAGGAGCCTGGCAGCATTTCCCCCACCCATGACTGTGTGCCAAGACCACGGATGGGGACTCCGGGACCACAGTGGAGCAGCGGATACCCACACAGGGGCTGTGGGTAAACTGAGTCCAGGGAAGAGGGAGTGTGCGGACAGGAAGGGGACCAGCAGAACGAGGGGGTGGAAAGCGGGGGTGGGGCTGGGAAGGGAAGGACAATAGAGGGGCTGGGTGTATCCCACAAATATGGGGGCCTCAGCTTTGCCATTAAACTCCTCCCAGCCAGTCTCAATTTCAGTGGCCTGAACCAGCCAGACATGGCCTCTGCCCTCAGACCTAACGGTCCAAGCCCTCCTCTCACTGACCCAGCCTCTGCCTTCAGACCTGGTGTTCACCTCCAGACCCCAGCCTCTTTCTCCTGACCTAGGTGTTCAGGCCCAACCCTCCTCCTTCAGACCCAGGGGTCCAGGCCCCAGCCTCCTCCCTCAGACCCAGGGGTCAAGACCCCAGCCTCCTCCCTCAGATCAGACCCAGGGACCAGGCCCCAGCCTCCTCCCTCAGACCCAGGGACCAGGCCCCAGCCTCCTCCCTCAGACCCAGGGGTCCGGGCCCCAGCCTCCATCCTCAGATCCAGGGGTCCAGGCCCCAGCCTCCCTCAGACCCAGGGGTCCGGACCCCCGACTCCTCCCTCAGACCCATGGATCCAGGCCCCAGCCTCCTCCCTCAGACCCAGGGGTCCAGGCCCCAGCCTCCTCCCTCAGACCCAGGGGTCCAGGCCCCAGCCGCCTCCCTCAGACCCAGGGGTCAAGACCCCAGGCTCCTCCCTCAGACCCAGGGGTCAAGACCCCAGCCTTCTCCCTCAGACCCAGGTGTCCAGGCCCAGCCTCCTCCCTCAGACCCAGGGGTCAAGACCCCAGCCTCCTCCTCCCTCAGAGACCTCCCACCTAGTCACACCAGGCTGGGCTGTGCGCCATATCTTTTAATCTAAACACATTGGCATTCGATTCCCAGTCCGGAGCCCAGGCTGCTCCTGCCTCCTCCCGGCGCGGGGATGACGGATGAGTCGCACAGCCCGGCCTCGGTCCCTTGGCCTGAGGACCCCGGGGGCGGCGCTGTCCTGGGGTGCGGCTGGTGCGCCCCTTCCCAGGCGGCGGCGGCGCGGGTCACTGCAGCGGGCGGGGCGGGCGTTTATTGCGGGGTGGGGGGGAGTGTGTCAGGGGCCGGGGCGGGGGGCGTCGGCGTCGGGTTCCGCGTCCTCCGGGGTCTCGGAGGTCTTCGGGGTCTCGTCCCAGGGGAAGGCCGGCAGCCCGCGCATGCGCGCGCGGTACACGCGGTCGAAGGCCTCGCTCTGTGCCACCGTGAAGTGGTTTTTCCAGTCTCCGGAGACCCCTGGAGATCGGGGGTGGGGTAGGGGTCAGGGGTGCAGGTCCTGAGGGCCTCCTGCCCCCTACCAGCCCTGCCACAAGCCGGGGGGCCCCCCTCTCCCTCCACCTCCCCCCCAAAAAACAACAGCCACCCGCCCCAGATGTGTGTGCCCCAGAATGCTGCACAGAGCGCATACGCACACAGGTTAGGGTCCCCTGTGGCGGGGTCAGGGGTCATGGGGTGCTTGCAGTGGGCCTCCAGGGCTGCTATGGACTCCATTTTATCGTGCATTTGTGTGGGTGCCAGTCCTGGGGCTTGAACTCAGGACCTGGGCGCTGGCTGGCCCTGGTACTCTACAGACCGCAGGCGCCACAGCTCCACCTCCAGCTTTTATGCTGGTACACTGGAGATGAGAACCGCAAAGGCTTTCCTGCCCAGGCTGGCCTCCAGCTGCAATCCTCAGCTCTCAGCCTCCTGAGTAGCTGGGATGATGACAGGCGTGAGCCACAGCGCCCAGCTTACTCGTATCATTCGGACAGGAGAGTCTGCCCAGGGTGGGCAGCAGCTGCAGGCAGCTGTTGTCCTGGTCCCGGCCCTGTGCTGAGGCTGGGGGAGGAAGGACATCCCTGTACTCCCTGCTCAGCCCCTTTTACAGCTGGGGAAAGTGAGGCCTAGCTGGGGAAAGCCGGCCCCTGGACGTGGTGGGGTGGCCGCACCTTTCCGGAGGAAGGCGCCTTGGCGGTGGTCCAGCAGGCTGGGGGGCAGGAGCGTGTAGTTGGACATGGCGTTGGCCTTCATGGAGCTGAAGGCCGAGTGTGCTACGACGGAGCCCAGAGCCTCCTCGTCCAGCGTCCGGCCCAGAAACTCAGAGATGCGCTGCACTGAGCCTTGGAGATCCTGACATGGAGGGACAGAGAGAGGGTGAGTGGAGGGGAGGGGCAGCGGGAATGTCCCAGAGAGAGGAAGGCAGGCAGGCCACCACGCAGCCTGGGGCTCCCTGAAGACTTCCCTTTCCATCCCACCACCGCCAGCCTTTCCAGATCATTCCTGGTTTCATAACTCCAGACAGCACCTCATGGCCTAGAAACTTCGGGCCACACAGCCAGGGCTGGCCCCAAGTGCCATTGGGCTCTGTGGCCCAGTTTCTGGTTTGTAGAACAGAGCTAGATGAAGCAGGGGGAGGGGTAATGCCCAACCCTTTTCCAGATCTTTCCATCAAAAGAAACTGAACAGCATGGGAAGAAAACAAATCCTGGGAGGTGGGGAGGGGAGACTGGGGGGTCTTTGTAAATGATTTAACTTCTCTTATAAACTTTTTTTTTCTCAATAAAGAGCTGTGAAGAGGGGCTGGGAAGGTGGCTCAGTGGTAGAGCGCTTGCCTTGCATGCATGGTACCCTGGGTTTGATTCCTCAGCACCACATAAGCAAAAAAGCCAGAAGTGGCGCTGTGGTTCAAGTGGTAGAGCACAGGCCTTGAGCTAAAGAGCTGAGAGGCAGCGTCCAGGCCCAGAGTTCAGGCCCCATGACCACCACCAACAACAAAAGAACTATAAGGGACTGGGAATGTGGTTTAGTGGTAGAGTACTTGCATGAAGCATGCATGAAGCCCTGGGTTTGATTCCTCTGTACCACATACATAGAAAAAGCTGGAAGAAGTGCTGTGGCTCAAGTGGTAGAGTGCTAACATTGAGCATAGAGAGGCTCAGGGACAGTGCCCAGGACCTGAGTTCAAGCCCCAGGATGGACAAAAAAAAAAAAACAAAAAACTATGAAAACCATCAGGTCATAGTGGGATTTGAACTCAGGGCTTTGTACTAGCTAGATTGATTATTTGATTACTTAGCTGCACCCCCTTCCTCCAGCCCTTTTGCACTTTTTTTTTTTTGTAGGTTATGGGACTTGAACTCAGAGCCCTGAACTCTTTCACTGGAAATGAGGACTCTATCAGTTTAAGCCACAGCTCCACTTCCTGTTTTCTGGTGGTTAATTGGAGATAAAAATCGCAAGCTTTCTCGCCTCAGCTTGCTTCAAACAGATCTCAGCCTTCAGAGTAGCTAGGACGACAGGCATGAGCCTCTTCGTTTTTGAGCTAGCAGTTCACTTACCACCACCCCCCCGCCCCCTGCTGCCCTCCAGGCTAGCCTGAATCATGATCCTCCTATTTATACTTTCTTTTTTTTGGGGGGGGTCCAGTCGGGGGGCCTGAACTCTGGGCCTGGGCGCTGTCCCTCAGCTCTTCAGCTCAAGGCTAGCATTCTACCACTTGAGCCACAGTGCCACTTTCTGGCTTTTTTCTTTTTGCTTATGTGGTGCTGAGGAATCGAACCCAGGGCCTCAGGCATGCAAGGCAAGCGCTCTACCACTGAGCCACCTTCCCAGCCCCTATTTATACTTTCTGATTGAGATGGAGGTGTGGAGGAGAACTTTTTGTCCAGTCTGGTTGCAAACTTCCAATCAATGCTTCCTGAGTAGCCGGGATTACAAGTGTGAACTACCAGCACCCAGCTTAAACAAGACTTTTTCTTTTTTGGTTTTTGTTTTTGTTTTGGTTGGTCATGAGATTTGAAATCTGGTCCTGGATGCTGTCCCTGAGCTTTTCAGCTCAAGAGCGCTCTACCACTTGAGCAACAGCACCACTTCTGGTTTTCTGATGGTTTATTAGAGATGAGTCTCACAGACTTTCCTGCCTGGGCTGGCATTGAACCTCGATCCTCAGATCTGAGCCTCCTGAGTAGCTAGGATGACAGGCGTGAGCCACAGGCACCCGGCTTTTTTTTTTTTTTTTTTTTTTTTTTATGAAAGCTGTTTATCCATTGGCATTTAAGGTGTTCTGCTTGCCTGACTCCAGGGTGGGCCAGGCTGAGGGGACCAACCTGCTGTAGCTCCTCGTAGGTGATGAACAGGAAGTTCTCCTTGCCCTGCATCCGGATCCAGCCCTTAATGTGGTCAAACCAGGAACCAAACTGCACTGAGAGCAAAAGGGCAGGGTGAGGGCCAGGTGAGGGCCGGGCAGCCAGGGCCCCTGGCTAGATGGCTGAGTGACCTCCCAAGCCTTCATATATATCACCAAGTTCAAGGTTTCTTTAACCTGCTCCTCCCCTCATCCATCTGGCCTCAAACCTTGATCCTCCTGATCTCTGCCTCCCACGTGTCTGGGATTCCAGGTATGAGTCACTGTACTTGGCTCTGTGTGAATGTGTTTCTTTTTTGAGATAGGGCATCTCAATGTACCCTAGGCCATCTTTGAACTTGTAGATTCCTACCTCAGCCTTAGGAATGCTAGAATTATAAATGGGTGCAACCACACTTTGTCGTCCCTGCCTCTCTGGGGCTCCTCCCAGTATGTCTGTGCCTTTGAACTCTCTCAGTGTCACTGCTATCTCTGCCACCCCCTTCTCCTTATCTGCTTCCTCATCCTGATCCTCTTTGCCAGGGTTGGGGCTGTCCCCCTCCCCCCAGCTGCCTCCTTGTGTCCCGGGCCTCACCTTCGCCTTTGAGGAAGTTCTGAAGGAACTGGTCGGGCGTGCCAGGGTCCTTCAACTGCCCGGCAATCTTGGAATAGTGATAAAGGGAAACCACCACATCCCGGGGGTTCCGGCCCAGGTAGATCACCTGTGTGTAGATGGGGGGAGGGGAAGGCATCAGACACAGGTGGGACCCCACTACCTAAAGCTGCCTGCCTTTGAGCCCCTCTTCTGGGTGCAGCAGGAAAGACTCAGGAAGACTTGTGGAGGAACTTCCAGTTTCCAAGAGCTCAGCTTTTGCAGAGAATGAGGAAAGTCTCCAACCAAATTCTAGGAGGAAAGAAGGAAAAGAAGAGGATGGAAGAATGAAAGAGGAAAAGAGCCAGTTGCTAGCAGTTCACATCTGTAGTCCTAGCTATTCAGGAGGCTGAGATCTGAGGATCGTGGCTCAAAGCCAGTCTGGGAAGGAAAGTCTGAAAGACTTATCTCTAATGAACCACCGAAAAGCCAGAAGTGGAGCTGTGATTCAAGTAGTATAGTTCCAACTTCAAGCAAAAAAGCTCAGGGACAGCGCCCAGGCCCTGAGTTCAAGCCCTAGGACTGGCACATAAAAGAGAAAGCAAGCCGGGCACCAGTGGCTCACATCTGTAATCCTAGCTACTGAGGAGACTGAGATCTGAGAATCACAGTTCAAAGCCATCCCGGGCAGAAAAGTCTGTGAGACTCTTATCTCCAATTAACCACTAGAAAACCGGAAGTGGTACTGAGGCTCAAGTGGTAGAGTGTTCGCCTTGAGCTGAAGAGCGCAAGGATAGCACCCAAGCCCAGAGTTCAAGCCCCATGACTGACATAAATAAATAAATAAATAAATGAGAAAGCAAGCAAGCAAACAAGCAAGAAAAAAAAAAGGAGGGGGCGGAGGGAGGGAGGGAGGAAAGGAGGGAGAAAGGAAAAAAGGTGGGAAGATCTAAAGCTGAGCATAGAGGTACATGCCTGTAATCCCAGTGTTTAGGAGGCTGAGATAGGATGTTTGCAAGTTCTAGGCCAGTCTGCCCCAAACACAAAGTGGAAAAAAAACAACAGAGGCTGGGGGCTGTAATTCAGTGGTAGATGTAGTGCTGAGTTTAATTCCCAGCACCAGAAAACTAAAGTTTAAGGGGAAATAAAAAAGCCCAATGGCATCTGTACCCCCGGCCCCCACCTTGGCCTTGGACGTGAAGAAGGCCTTTGTGAACAGCTGGATGGGGAGGTGGGAGCTCATGATGCGGGGGCTGGGCTGGTCCGGGAGGTTGAAGGCGCTCATGATGGTCTCACACCAGGGCGCCCGCTCCCAGATGGGCACCGAGCGGATCCAGGAAGGATCGCCGTTCTTCAGGATCAAGCAGACAATCTCGATCATCCAGTTGGTGCCTGCAGAAGGGGGAAGGGGAGAGATATTAATGAAGCCCTCATTTCAACCAGTAGTTATGTACAGTGATGTACACCTGTCATCCCAGCTATACAGGAGGTTTAAATAGGAGGATGTCCAGGTCCAATCTGGGCTTAGAGACCTATTAGAAAAACCAGTGGTCAAAGCTTTGAGCAGCTGCCTGTCAAGTGATACCTTGAGTTCAAATCTCCCCCAAAACATTAAAAATCCACAAAGTCCTGTCATTTCAGCTACTCTAGGCCAGAGGATTCAAGTTGGATTGAAGTTAAGAGAGACCCTATGTCAGAAAAGCAAACTACACAAAGAAAGGGCTAGGATGTGTGGCCCCGGAGTGGGCGTGGCCAAGGAACCCTCCAGCGGGCGTGCCCACGTCAGAAACCTTTTCCGGGTGGGCGTGGCTACACAGACCACTATTTGATAGGCTGGTTCGTGTGGGCGTGGTCACCAGGGGCCTGGTCCCGCGGTGGGCGTGGCTTGAGCGGTAAGGCATTTGCCTCGCATGCCTACCACCAGACAAGGGTCTCACTCTCCAGCCCAGGCTGGTCTTGAACTCGCGCTCTTCCGTTCTGGGCCTGGGGAGTGCTGGAATTCCGGGTAAGCGCCCCAGTCTATTCTGGCTGTGTTCCCTGTGGTTGGAGCGAGGCCAGCAGAGGGCACTGCAGGACACCAAATCAGGACCCAGTCTCTCCGTTATCCTGGTCTCCTCTAGGGGAAAATCAGCTCTATAGGGGACAGGCCGGCAAAGACCCTGACCCTGACCCTGGGGCATTTGAGAGTCACATTCTATCACCTGTGAGGAGCTCAAGGTGGCTGCCAGCAAATTCATCAGTCCCTGCTCCTGGCTCTCCTAGTGGCCAGCCCTTGTGCAGCCCTGCCCCCTCTCCCGCCCTGCAGGTACCTGACTTGGGGAAGGTGATGATGAAGATGTCGTCATCCCGCACGTCCAGGGCGTTCTCTGCTTGGCTGATGCTGTCTGGAGAGTACAGGCCGAGGGGAAAGGGGATGTCCTTGTACCAGAAGTAGTCTCCTGGCAGCTTCTGGCTCCTGGGGGGGGGGGAATGAGGGAGAGACAGGGAGTGACGGAGGGAGCTGCTGCTTTCTGAGCCTCCATTTACCCATCAACAAAATGGGGGTGCTTCACTAGTCCCCCTCAAAAAATCAACAACCACCAACCAGTCCTGTGACATCACAATTATTATTTAGCATCTCCATGTGATGGATAAGGAGAGCCAGGTTCAGAGAGGTACAGTGACTTGCCCAAAGCCACACAGCTGGTGGGATACACAGCACTTTACATATGAAAATGGGACCATGGATTGGGAATGTGGCTCAGTGGTAGAGCGCTTGCCTAGCATGCATGAAGCCCTGGGTTCGCGTCCTCAGTACCACATACACAGAAAAAACCAGAAGTGGCGCTGTGGCTAAAGTGGTAGAGTGCTAGCCTTGAGCACAGAGAGGCTCAGAGACAGCACCCAGGCCCTGAATTCAGTCCCCAGGACTGAAACATTAAAGAAAGAAAATGGGACTGGATGGTTCCCCATACATTTATCCTTCACCCCAACCCTGGAGGGAGACACAGATCACTTAACAAAATAGAATATTGACATCAGAGACATCAGATGCTCAGCCCAAGTCAACTGCAAAGCCCACGTGCAAAATTCACAATGAATCACCAGGTGATTAAGGTTCCTCAATTAGATGTTTTAGGAGCAGTTGAGCTGGGCATGGTGCCACATGCCTATAATGTAAGCCATGCAGGAGCCATAGACAAGGAGAATGGAGGTCTGTAACCACCTCGGGCAGAAAGTTAACAAGACCCACCTCAATCAATAAGCCAGGCATAGTGATTCAAGGCTGTGGTCCCAGCACTATAGGAGATGTAAAGCAAGAGGAACATAATCCAGGCTGTCCTGGACAAAAATACAAAAGTACCTATAAAAAAAAAGAATAACTAGGGTTGTGAATGTGGCTCAGTGGTAGAGTGCTTGCCTAGCATGCATGAAGCCCCAGGTTCGATTCTTCAGTACCACATACACAGAAAAAGCCAGAAGTGGAGCCATGGCTCAAGTGGCAGAATGCTAGCCTTGAGCAAAAGAAGCTCAGGGACAGTACCCAGGCTGAATTCAAATCCCAGGACTGGAAAACAAAACAAAACTCTAAAGTGAGCCAGGTGGGTCATGGCTTCCATCCTACCTACTAAGGAGGCTGAGAGCTGAGGATCATAGTTTGAAGCCAGCTTGGGCAGAAAAGTCTGTTGAGACTCATCTCCAGCGAATCACCAGAAAAACTAGAAGTGGAGCTGTGGCTCCAGTGGTAGAGAGCTAGCCTTGAGCACAAAAACACCCAGCCCCTCAGTTCAAACGTCATGACCAGGGGCTGGGAAGGTGGCTCAGTGGTAAAGTGCTTGCCTAGCATGCATGAAGCCTTGGGTTTGCTTCCACAGTACCACATACACAGAAAAAACGAAGTGGGGCTGTGGCTCAAGCGGTAGAGTGCTAGCCTTGAGCACAAAGAAGTTCAGATACAGTGCCCATGCTCATGCCTGTTGGTGGGACCCAACAATAACATACCTCATGACCAGCACGCACACACACACGCGCGCGCGCGCACGCACACACACACACACACACACAATTTTGTCAATTTTTTTAAAAATAAAAGACTGCAGAAAGCCGTTGCTCAGGTAGATCCAGGCTCCTAAGTGGAATCCCATAAATCCAAACTAACTATTCACCATCACACGCAGTATTAGAAGCAACATTACTGAGGTGAACTGGCTCAAGATTGCAACTGGGCAGCACGCATTAAGCAGTAATGCAAGTATGCATGCAGCAGCGTCACTGCCTGTCCTCATTGGTTGGGTGGGTGGAAGTCGTGACGCAATCAGTTGCCAGGCAGATTTTAGCCCTGTGGACAGGCTCCCTGAAGCCATCATCAGTTACTAGGCAGATTAACCTCCAAATGCCTGCTTCTGTAGGTCATTCCTGCCTATCTCCATGAGCCTCAGTTTCCTTTTCTGTCACATGAGGATAAGAGACAACCTCTTATTTACTCAGGAGGCTGAGAGCTGAGGATCTAAAGTTCAAAGCCATCCCAGGGAAGAAAGCTCTGGGAGAGTCTTTATCTCCACTGAACCCAGCAAGAAACTGGAAGTGGAGGTGTGGCCCAAGTGGTAGAGCACCAGCCTTGAGTGAAAACACAAAATGACAGACAAAAAGTGCAAGGCCCCAGCCGGGCGCCAGTGGCTCACACCTGTAATCCTAGCTATTCAGGAGGCTGAGATCTGAGGATCACGGTTCAAAGCCAGCCCGGGCAGGAAAGACCATGAAACTCAATAAACCACCAGAAAGCTGGAAGTGGTGCTGTAGCTCAAGTGGTAGAGCGCTAGCCTTGAGCTGAAGAGCTAAGGGACAGCGCCCAGGCCCAGAGTTCAAGCCCCATGACCGACCAAAACCAAAAAAAAAAGTGCAAGGCCCTGAGTTCAAATCCCAGTGCTTGTCAGACTGTTAACGCAGCCAGGGTAGCTCTGGTTTCCAGGCTTGCCCGACCCCAGTCACCCCAACACTAGCCCAAGCTCCCATCTCTTGTTGTGCAGCCCCCACCCAGATCCAGGACCTGGGCCTGGAATTCAGTCCCCCTGTACTGGGCAGGCCAGGAAGCCCTGAAGATTCCTTTAGCACTTGGCTGGATTTGGGCCTGCTCTCCCTGTCCCAGAACTCAGGCCTGGCCCCAGGGGGACCCTTCCCTTTCTGGGGTCACAGGCCCTTTTAGTTCCCACAAACCATGTCAGGAGACTGGCGTGTGGAGATTGCTCCATTTAAATAGAGGAATGGAAGTATGGAAGGCTGGGTGGTGGGGAGAGGCTGGCAGCATCAGGCAAGGCCGGGCCTCCATGACAAAAAGGGCCCAGGATCTGCCCACCAACCCCAGGAGGCCACTGGGCAGCCCTGCCTGCGCACCCCCAGCCCATGGGAGCTGTAAGAAATGCCCTACCCCTTTGGGGGTTCTTCCATTTCCCTCTGTTCTGTTGGCAGCACTGCGATTTGAACTCAGGAGCTTGGCACTTGCTAGTCAGGTGTTCTATCCTCTGAGCCACATCATACTCCAGCCCTGTTTTTTTTTTTTTTTGCCTTCAGATATGGTTTTATCTGTTTTTCTTGGGGATCGCCTCAACTCCCGATTCTCCAACACTGCCTTTCATGTAGCAGGGATCACAGACCTGTACCACCACACCCAGTTCCTTTGTAGAGATGAGGTCTTGCCCCAGCTGGTCTCAAACCACGATCCTCCCATCTCAGTTTACAAGTAGCTTGGATTACAGGGGTGACCCACTGAGCCTGGCAGAAAGGCTTGACTTCTTTTTTTTGGGGGGTCCGGTAGTGGGGCCTGAACTCTGGGCCTGGGTGCTGTCCCTCAGCTCTTCAGCTCAAGGCTAGCGCTCTACCATTTGAGCCACAGCGCCACTTCCGGCTTTTTTCTTTTTGCTTATGTGGTGTTGAGGAATCGAACCCAGGGTCTCATGCATGCCAGGCAAGCGCTCTACCACTGAGCCACCTTCCCAGCCTGAAAGGCTTGACTTCTTGCCTCATACATAAAGCCCTGATCTTTTCTCTCTGTACTCCATTTCCTGGCCGGCTCTAGGATCTTCCTCTCCCCTCTGGATACCTGGCCCAGCATCTGTCCATCTTTGTAACCTGGTGCTCACTGGTTTTATGCTCCTCCATCCTGTGGCTCCTTAATGCGTTTGGGGTCAATTCCCAGCCCCACATCTGGCACTCAAGGCCAGGCAGGTTTTAGCCCCGTGGACAGGCTCCCTGAGGCCATTATCAGTTACTCAAGGCCCGCCACAGCCTGGTCCACTAGCTCCTCTCCTCCAGATACCAGCTGTAGTTACAAGGGATTTCCTTCATTCACTGAATAGTTTTCATACCTCTGGGCCTTTGCACGTGCTGTTCCCCCAAAAGAATGCCTTTCTGCCACTTCTCTCTGCATCTCTAGTTAAGAGCTGGGTCAAATGCCACCCCCTAAAGCACTTCCCTGACCAGGAGTCTCTTTTCTTCCACATGAGCTGTCATCTCCTTTTATCTGCCCCTAGGGAAGGGCCTGGCCACAGCAGGGGAGAGGGACACAGGTTGTATTATAGAGCTCTCCCACAAATTCATGCTGTGGGTACTGAGGGTACCATTTCATGTCAGAAGAAATGAAGGCCCAGAGAGGCTAATACACTCCACCAAGTCACACAGCAGCCTTCCCAGGAAATCTCATACCTGACCCTGAGCATCTTCCTCTTCCTCTCCCATTCTTCTCTTCCCTCATTCTATCCTCAGTCTGACACACAACAGGTGTGCAATCCACAAACCTGTCCCCAGTTCAAAAGGCAGAGGCAGCCCAGCCCTTCCAGGTTCATATTCGGAGCTGGCTCTGTCAAATCAGCTAGCTGTGTGATGTTGGCAACTCGGCTACACATCTCTGTGCATCAGTTTCACAGTGTGGGAGAACAGGATTGGAAGTGGACTCTGCAGAGAATGTTGGAAGGATTAAAAGCCACCTGCAGTCAGTTCTCCCACACAGAAACAGCCAGAGGATTTGGTGACAAATCCAAGTTGGCCAGGCACTGGTGGCTCATGCCTGAAATCCTAGCTACTCAGGAAGCTGAGATCTAGGATTACAGTTCAAAGCCAGCCCCTGGGCAGAAAAGTCGTTGTGAGACTCCTATCTCCAATGAACCAAAGAACCGCAAGTGGTGCTGTCAATTGGTAGAGAGCTATCTTAAACACAAAGAGGCTCAGGGACAATGTGCAGGCCCTAAGTTCAGGCCCTACAACCCACAAAAAAGGAAAAAAAAAGCAAAGAAACCTGAGTTGACTCCAGTCCCAACTATTCTCCAACCTCCCACCTCTCTGGTCTCATTCTTCTACCTACACAGCAAGCTTGGTCCCTGACACAGGACCTTTGTACTAGCTTTGTACTAGCTGCTCCGTTTCCCATTCACTCCCATGACTCTTGCCTGTCTCAAGCCATTGTCCTGATATCACTTCTAC